AGGAGGTTGCCTAGGTAGGAACGACATAGAAAATTGCTATGGAGAAGGTCAGAAGAGTCCCGCAGGTCACGCAAAGATCCCTCAATCCTGTTTGCAGCAGTGATCATTGCTTGGCAAGGTCTGAAGAAGTTGATATCCTCTGTAAAACTTCCTTAACATCCTTTTCTGTGGCATTTACAAACCCCTAAGCAGCACATGTCCCAGCCCAGAGCCTGACTTCTGTTGGCTGCTCTTCCTCCTACACATACTTAGTTAAAACGTATAGTTCTTCCCATCTTTAACCATTTATTTATCCATGTGAGGACCTTCTCTTATCACATGGATGCTTAGTTTAAAAACTTTCAGTGAAGGGTCTTTTCACACAGCTTTTGGGAATCCGAGTAGCCTATATTGTCCAGATCTCTCGTACTCTTGACTCTTTTAGAAAACTCCAGTAGATTTCTGAGTAATTGCTTATCTTCACAAAAACCATGTTGGCTTTTCCCAGTGTGTCATATTTGTCCACATAACCCCTTATTCTATTGTTTAAAAGTACAGATGTCGAAGTCACTGGTTTGTCGTTTCATTCAAGTTTCATTCATTCCCCCAAATCATTCTCTGTAGGTGTGTGTTTCAGCATGGTAGCCTTCCCAAACTCTGAATACAAATGTAGAAATTGCGTTTTCCTGCTGCGACCTTCTTTTCTCTGAGCGTTCCTTTTATGCCTTTTCCACAGAGTCTGGCAGGCTTCCTGCTCCTGAGGTGCTCGAAGAAAGATTTATTATTAGTTTTTATGCCTTTTATCAAATATTTCTGAAGATCTTTTCTGGCCTTTTATATTTAACCATTTTTTTCTATTTTCCTGATTTGGACACATTTTTATCTTTTTGAAGGTTGTCTTCTAAGTCTCCCATATTCTGTTCTTCAGCCATGTTGCCTTTGGACTTTCTCAAGCCCCTTAGGCAGGTGTTATTATAGTGCTTTAAGCCTGCATATGTCCTTTGATTTTCTCCTGGCACAGATTTAGCTTGCTTAGCTGATGGTGGGGACGTCTCACTGTGATTACTTTCCTCTTCAACTGTCCGGAGCCTGC